TTTATTTCAAACATTTATTTATAATAAATGCAAATTCATACAGGTTTTATCAAAGTGCTTTTTAATGAACTAAACAATTTGACTTGAAGCAAACATTTAAAATATGAATTGTCAGTCATTGCAAAAGGCTGCAAAATTACAAACAAGCGAGTAACAGGTTTTATTCTGGAAACATTAAACAAAATTATATCTGCCTGTGTTAACATCATTAAAAATTTACCTATTTCTGGTGCTTCTCCTTCTTGATAGAAAATTTTTAATGCTTTACTTCCTCTCCTGGCGAAAAAAGAACTAAAGGCTTTCAACTGTTAAATCAAAAAGAGAATACTTGTTACTCAAAATATTTTTATGTGCCTTTAAGACAAGCAAAAGTAATTTGACCATTCCAGTGTTAAAAGTTTTAGTGGCATGTAATGTTTATCCTCAAATACTGTGAGGAGTTACAAAACAACATAATAATTATTTCAAATACTGCTTTCAAGTACTGATCTTGCTTACAAAGGTGGCCTAGCTTCTAATAACTAATGGTTTTGGTCCTCTCCAGTAATGCAGAGACACTGAAGGCTATTCTGTCACTAACAGAGATCTGCAAGTCTCAAGTGTCAAATGAAAGTTAACAAGTCGTAAGAGACTTAGAAATACACAGCAGATTTGCAGGACTTGATATACTCTGCTACTGCTACTCTACCCCTAAATGTAAAAGATTAATTTGTAAAAGAGAAGCAACATCACACTTAGGAATTTTAGTGTGGAGACATGAATGGTGTTAGGAAAACAAGTGACACCCAAGTGGGACAGTATTTAAACTTATTCTTTTGAGAAGACAATGTTAAGTGAAAATAAAATAACTAAAAGCAAGGCAGCTCTAGAAATGCATGCAGCGATTTTACTTTGATTAATAGGCGGTAGTGAATAACAGGGTTAAAACTGAGAAAAGTACAGAAAAAATCCTCCAAAAATAAAAGAAAAACTGGTAAACTGCTGAAAGGGCAGTGACAAAAATCAGAAAAAGATTCACTACTACAAAAAGCTCTTGAACTTGAGAGGAAGAGAAAGTGAACAGTAACTTTTGATCTTATATGATTTTACACAGGATGCCAGACATGAGCTGCTCCTACGTCTACTGATTCTGCAAATAGCTTTCAGTTCACATGGTGCAAACATTCACTGTCTGAATACACAGACAGGCTAATGCTCTAAAGAGTAAAACTTAACTCATGGATGTCAAAGACATGACATGTATTTGGGAGTTTACTAAAGGAGAATTTGTTAAAGGACAATGTTGACACAGCCTCAGCAGTCTAAACTGTTTATGAATAAACTAAAACTGGAAACTGAAAAATTTCCAACCATACGAAGTTTTCAGATGGTCCTGGTGACAGGACAGGAAAACAAAACAAAACAAAAAAAAAAAAAAACATGAAGTTAAGGTGATCTAAAACTATATACCGTTTAGAAACTGTTAAAAAAGGAAATGTTAGTTGATTGTCAACACTTAAAGCATCTCTATGTTGCATAAGCATATCAACAAACATATAGGACAGACTCACCGAAGGGGCATCCAAAATCATTTCTTCCACAGTTTCTAAGTCTAAACCTAGCCTGATACTGAGAACTTCAAATATGTATTTATAAGAAGCATCAACTTTTGCCTTTCGATTTTCTCTTGCTTCTTTGTATTGAGCCTAAAGCATTAAACACATCTTTCAAGTTAAAAATACACAAAGTGACCACAAGAGTGACCTGCTATGTAACTCACAACTGACGCTAAAATTTGTCTTGTACACTACATATCTGCCCTGTTCTTTAAAAAAATCTTAATTTTCAGAGATTAATATAAGAATGAATTATTAAGAATTATTATAAAATGTAAAGTCAATTCTGAGGGTATGTCAAAGAAAAGCAAACATTAAATATACTACTACTGGATTTTAAGATATTTGTGTGAAATGTTAACTAGTTTTATTTTTCACAATCAATATTTCAATTTATTATACTAATCCAGAAAGGTCGCAACATCAATTTAAAATCAAAGCACTACAGTAGGTAAATATTTGCAGGAACTAAGCTGGGTACAGCTTTGCTTCAGGGTAAATTATTCAGTTAATATCTCCTGTTTCCATCCTCTGCTAATTTAAAATAAAACCTTAAAATACTACAAGCACAGGAAACAAAGACTCATTTTCTACCAGAAATCGTTTAATAAAAGAACTGAGTACAAACAAAAAAGAAAGAAAAAAAAAAGAAAAAAGAAACAACAAACACAAACTGAATTTAGTAATCTGAAAAAAGAACCAGAAATTTATTTAAAGACCTATGGTTCGATACTAAACCTGTTTTTCTTTTAAAATTCCTTGCAAGGACAGAGATCCATCAGTGCCCCATCTAGACAACTTTCGGCTTGCAGCAGAAAAAGAATCTAGGGAAGAGGAAAAGCTTGCTAGGTTTTGACTAAGGCGAAGAGATCTGGCTGCAGTATCTTCTAGCATAAAACTCTCTGCACTTGGAATAGGCCTAGCCCCTTCTCCAGTGTTTAAACTTTCTCTGTATTTTTTTCGTGCCCCCTCCATCTTGAAATCTGAAATACAAAATAAAAACAACACACCAAAACCATTTACAACAATCCAGATTTTTCAAGTCTATCTATAAATATATATATATAAACTTAAATGTGTTATTCAGTGTACTCAAATCTACACATGGATTGAGGGACTAGTCTTAAAGCATTGTAATCGCCACTGCAAAGATACCTGAAGTCCCTAGTTTAGGTCTAATTTTTCCTCAAAAAGTAGCTTGTTCAGTTTCACAGGGATGTTATATGGGAGAAACATTTTATAAAACAAATGTTGAGATATACTACTAAGGTCATACCTAGGATAACAGCTGAAACAAAAGCACAGAAATCACTATTCTGCACAGAAATCACTATTCTATTCAGAGTACTATTACCATAAGGATTAAAACAACCACCAAGAACTACCAAGTAGCTCTTAAGAACCCTTAGGGCAGCCTAATATATGTGTTATACAGAATCACAGAATCATAGAATAGTTAGGGTTGGAATGGTCCTTAAGATCATCAAGTTCCAACCCCCCTGCCATGGGCAGGGACACCTTGCTCTAAACCATATCACCCAAGGCCTCGTCCAACCTGGCCTTGAACACTGCCAGGGATGGAGCATTCACAACCTCCCTGGGCAAATCATTCCAATGCCTCACCACCCTAACAGGAAAGAATTTCCTCCTTATATCCAATCTAAACTTCCCCTGTTTAAGTTTGAACCTATTACCCCTTGTCCTATCACTACAGTCCCTAATGAAGAGTCCCTCCCCAGCATCCCTATAGGCCCTTCTTAGATGCTACTGCCTGATTCAGGATATAGAAAATCAGAAGTGAGGTAGACATGAAAAGGCTACCGGTGCTGCACTATTAGCTGCTTATTCTTGCCCACAATTAGCTAAGTGAGCATGGTTCTCTGAACTCTGGCATGCAATCACCCGTTATAGAAAATGTTAATCTCTTTCTAGAAGTAAAAATACTAAGAAAAAAAAAAAGCACCCAACACCTTAGCAAAGTCACAAAAAAGGGAAACTTTAAAATTAAATTAACTCATTCCTTTCTTTTCCTTCATGTTTATCTGACTGCCTTAGTCATCTCTAAGGTTAGCATGGGTACTTTCCACGTCAACATTCAACCTGGAATAGGTTGGTTATTAATCTCCTTGCATTTTAACTGGTTCTCTTGGCAGCTGATACTTTCTCCTGAAGCTCAAGGTGAGAGAGGTGAGACTGTAATTAAAAACAAACGGCTTTCATTAAAAGCAGACTACATGGTATCCTGGTATCTTCCTTCACTCTCTAAGCACCTGTACTCAAAATGCCTGGTGGCTCATATGAGGTTTTCACACTTTCCAAAAACCAGCATGAACTCCAGCTGGCTACCTATCCCAGTTGTAACAGCAGATGTGCCTCCAGGCGGCCCTAAACCTTGCCTCCAGGACCTGTTTATGCAAGAAAATTAAGTCTGGTTTCTAGGACAAATCTTAGAAGGAGGATCAGGAGGGAAAGCAGAAGATTTCTAAGTATGGAGCATCAGGGATACTGACTTCTGGCTCTCTTCTGAAAAGCCGACGTGACTTAAGCGGCACTTCTGCTTTGGTAGAGATATGCAGGCGGGGAGGGGCACCGACCTGGCTACAGCTATGCCTCACAACGCGGGGAGTGGGGAGCATCCCTCCCAGCAGTATAGCCGCCGTCCGCAGGGCATGGGGTCCAACGCCTGTCGCGGGGCTCTGGCCAGATGAGATACCGTTAGCGGGGATGCCGTTAACGGAAGCCCGTAACGGCCGCGGCAGAGCTCGCGGTCCCCGCACCTGGGAGGTGCCGGCGCTGGGCCGGGTGCGCGGCTCGAGGCCTCTCCCCACCGGGCCCGGCCCTGCCAAATCGCGACCCGCTGGCCGTGCCGGGCAGCGAAGAGCTCAGCGCAGCCCGGTGCTGTGAATCCTCTTGGCAGGGTTGGTTTTAGATGCACCTGTGGAAGTTACCGAGAAACGCATCCCGGATTCTACATTGCAGAGGCGGTTTCACCTCAATTATCAGAGGAAAGTGTACTTCTATTTATTCCCCCCAACCCCGTGTTCAATCCCTTTTTTTCTGGCGGAGTTTTCTGAAAGAAAGATTCTTTAGACAGGGAGCAGTTGATTATACCAGGCGCCATCAAAACGAGCGCACAAGGGCCGGGTTTCCAACCAACACATTCACAAATCCCCGCTCCATCCGAGCTGGGCCCGATGTCGGCGCCTGTGCAGGCCCTGGTCCCGCACCTTCAAGCCTGTGCTCAGCAGCTGGAGGGATCCCTCGTCAAGTCAGTGCGGGAAGACACACGGTTTCACGCCACTCTCCACCTAATTAGTCCCGTAGCCAGGGAGGCTCCTTCCCTTTGACACGGAAACGAAGGGACAGTAGTCGACCTGATCGGACACTTCCTCGCCTAGCACCGATTAAATGCAGGCGGGGCGGAGCGAAGCAGAGCGCCGCCTTTCCGAGAGAGCTGTCTCCTCCTTCTGCTCCTCTTTCGACATGGCGGTGCCGGCGGAGCTTAGCGGCCTCAGTGATGAGGCGGCCTATGCCGCCTGCTCGGAGCCGGACGCCAGTACGAAGGTGGGGTGAATGGGAGGGGAGGAATCAGAGTGTCCCGTGGTTGCCGGCGCCTGGCCTTGCGGGGGTGCCGCCGGTGTCTGTCCGTCCCGTTGCCCTGCTCTTTGCCCGGGGGACGTGCGGTGGATGGATGGCGGCATGGGGGAGCGAAAGGGGCGGTCAGAGCTTGCCGGCCCAGCTAAAAACGTACCCCAGCATTTTCGTTTTTTACTAGGATACCTTGTAATTGCATTTAAGGTGTTCTGCGTCTGTCTTGTTTGTTTTAAATACATCTCTTTAGGTATGCTGCCATTTGCTTTATGTCCACTTAAATTGTTAGCCCTTGGTACATAAAGTTATCTTATGGCTTGAGGAAAATACCCTCACAAAATTGCAGGCAGGTTTTGAGGCCAAGACTGCCATCAAGCTTGACACAAATTCAACGTCTGTGCAATGATATAATAAAAATGCTGAGTTCAGGAGTTTACCATTTATTTAAATGCTCTGTCTGCAGTGAGGCCTAATGTCAAATACGCATGTGTCAGCCGTCTTCGCAGAATGGTTCATGTGCAGTACAGCTCCATAAAAGAATAGTAAAAAATTATACTTTTTTTTTTTTTTTAATAACATTGATAATACATATTGAGTGATACCATTAGTAGTTTTGCTTTAAGCATTGTGTTACAGAGGCATATCTCTTCAAGACAAATCTGTATGCATAGGGTCAGGACAAAAGCTTTTATTTACATCTAATGTAGCACTGACTACTTCTAAACCTGCTAGTTTTAGATTCATTATTAACTGGGATCTTTGTTAATGCCCATAAATAAATTCTGGTTGATATATAAATAATATTTTTTCCCCAGGATTTTTTATTCCAGCAAACAATGTTAAGAGTAAAGGATCCTAAGAAGTCACTAGATTTTTATACAAGAATTCTCGGAATGACGTGAGTAGAAGTTGCATGCCACAATAAGTTTGGGTTTTCCTACTGTTCTTCTGAGAAGCTTTTGTTATTTTGATGTAATCATATTAATTGGTCTCACAATGTAAACAGTGGTGCTTATCAGCTGATGCTCAGTTGGATAGTCTGGCAATCTCTGAGCACAACACAGTTAATGCTTAAGCTGCAGATGAACTAATATTGGCCTTGACAAGAAATTTCTTAAATAGGTCACTAATTATCAGTGTACAACCTGATTACTCTCTCCTCACTGAACCTGCAGCTAACTGGTAACTTTTATGACAGTGCTTACGATTGCAATCACTGGTGTAAATCCTGGAATCAAGTTTTATGCTCATTCTCAGAGGTGGTTTATGATCACCTCTGGTCATAAGACAGTAAGGCAGTAGAAGCTGGAGACAAGGCCCAAACTCAACTTTTTGAAGAAGGCTGTTGGGAGGCAGATGCAGTAGCCTAATATGTTTAAGCTAGGCTCTTCTTTGCACAGTACTGACATTTGAAATGAGTTATTTCAAATAAAAACTTTAACATATTTTTAAACATCCTGAAATGAGATATTAAAGACTGTGTTTCCACTTTAGTGAAGATGTGTGAGAAAATAAAAACAAAGCTAAAAAATAAATTAGATTAATTTTGCATGTGTGCTTGTTCTGGCTAAATACCCTACATAAAAATTGTTTACAAGTATTTTTTAGTTGATAAAATTACCACATATGAAATGGATTTTATTATTATAGCTAGCTGTTGATATTGTAAAAATAATTAAAGGTATGTTTGTGTTTTAATCCTGCTGTGTTCTTAAACTTTGTCTGATGCAAGTCCATTCCTGAGACTCAATCAGTTTCAAAGTAAATGTTTTGATCCCTTGGTAGTATTTTAAAGGGTAAAAACAAAGATCTTCCTGAGGAAATACACATAAGTAACAGTGGCAGCCTCAAGATATGAGCTTTTGTACTGGTTTGAGATTCAGTTACTGATAGTTTTGCTTTTAAGCATACAATTTTCTTTTTTTTTTTTTTGATTTCTTTTTAATAGGTTTATAGAATCATAGAATCATAGAATAGTTAGGGTTGGAAAGGACCTTAAGATCATCAAGTTCCAACCCCCCCTGCCATAGGCAGGGACACCTCACACTAAACCATATCACCCAAGGCCTCGTCCAACCTGGTCTTGAACACTGCCAGGGATGGAGCATTCACAACCTCCCTGGGCAACCCATTGCAGTGCCTCACCACCCTAACTGGAAAGAATTTCCTCCTTATACCCAATCTAAACTTCCCCTGTTTGAGTTTTAACCCATTACCCCTTATCCTATCACTACAGTTCCTAATGAAGAGCCCTCCCCAGCATCCCTATAGGTCCCCTTCAGATACTGGAAGGCTGCTATGAGGTCTCCACGCAGCCTTCTCTTCTCCAGGCTGAACAGCCCCAACTTTCTCAGCCTATCTTAATATGGGAGGTGCTCCAGTCCCCTGATCATCCTCGTGGCCCTTCTCTGGACTTGTTCCAACAGTTCTGTGTCATTTTTTTTTGTTGAGGACACCAGAACTGCACACAGTACTCCAGTTGTGGTCTCACAAGAGCAGAGTAGTGGGGCAGGATCACCTCCTTCAACCTGATGGTCTCGCTCCTTTTGATGCAGCCCAGGATACAGTTGGCTTTCTGGGATGCAAGCACACACTGAAGCTGGCTCATGTTCATTTTCTCATCAACCAACACCCCAAGTCCCTCTCCGCAGGGCTGCTCTGAATCTCTTCTCTGCCCAGCCTGTAGCTGTGCCTGGGATTGCTCTGACACAGGTGTAGGACCTTGCACTTGTCATGGTTAAACTTCATGAGGTTGGCATCAGCCCACCTCACAAGTGTGTCAAGGTCCCTCTGGATGGCATCCCTTCCCTCCAGCTTATCAACCGAACCACACAGCTTGGTGTCATCAGCAAACTTGCTGAGGGCGCACTCAATCCTACTGGCCATGTCAGCGACGAAGATGTTAAACAAGACCGGTCCCAACACCAATCCCTGAGGGACACCGCTTGTTACTGGTCTCCAGCTGGACACTGAGCCATTGACCACAGCTCTTTGTGTGTGGCCATCCATCCAGTTCTTTATCCACCGAGTGGTCCACCTATCAAACTGATGTCTCTCCAGAGACAAGGATATCATGTGGGACAGTAGTTTTGGATTGTTTCTATTTTATAGTTAAAAATGTAGATATTTTAAGATGTGGATTGCAGTCAGAAAGACAAAAAAACCCCAACAACATGGCAAAATTGTTCCATGGGGGAAGCACCTTGGTTTATTTGAAAGCTATCCCATTACCCTTTTAAGTCACTATTTCAAAATATTTTTTTGCTATTTAGACTGCTTCAAAAATTTGACTTTCCTACTATGAAATTCTCACTCTATTTCCTGGGATACGAAGATAAAAATGATATTCCAAAAGACAAAACTGCGAGAACAGCTTGGACCTTCTCTAGAAAAGCTACACTTGAATTGACACAGTAAGTATGAATATAGTGGGAGATAACATTTAGCTAACAGCGATTAAACAGAAGTGGATGAGTGTAAATCCTGTTGGAGTGAATAAAAAAATGTAATCATTACTGTGGAAACATCTTCACTGTTGTAGAGCTTTAACATATGGCTGAGATCTTGGATACTTGGCAAGCTTAATCTTTCCCTTTTCAGAGCTCTTTCTGAGCTGCTGGGTGAAGAGTGGTATATAAATATGAGATAATACTTGCTATGTTTTGAGTATGCATACTATCTGTGTAGGGAAGTTACAGAATTTAACCAAAAGAGGTATTAAGTCAAAACATACATTTCCCATAAAGGGGACAATTTGGTTAATGTTATTAATCATTGTAATTGTGTAGGAAGAATCTCCCAAATACTCCATGGTCTTGCTTAACCTCAGGACCACTTGCCCTCACTGTTTGTTCCCCAACAATGGCTAGATAAACTAACTCATGCAGTGCAACCTTCTCTCTAATCTGAATGTGACAGGAGAGTTTCTGACTCATTCAGGTATAGAACCCAAATATTAGGGCTGTGACTAGGACCTGTGACCAAGGCAATTCTTGATAGTTTAATGAATGTAGTCAACAGCTGAAATTCTCTGGTTTCTTAGGAGAAACAGCTTACCCTCCTGAGGAAACTGATCATTTAGGATTTGTTAATTTTGATGCTTTTCTTCAATGTGTAATAATTACTTCTTACAGCAACTGGGGTACTGAAAATGATGAAAATCAGTCTTACCACAATGGAAATTCAGATCCCCGTGGATTCGGTAGGGCTTTAATTTTGTGTCTGTAGTTTTTAAGCTTTGGTTTATTGTGATTACATACTTTTTTCCTTGTGCATTGGGGAAAAATGGAACTTTAAATGACTTTTGGAATAGCATAAATTCTGTGCATGCTGTAGCCTTTTTTTTTTCTTCATTTTGTTTTTTTTTTAAGAGAACTGTAGAGAAAATATTCTAAGCTTGTGTCGTGATTTAAACCCAGCCAGTAACTCAGAACCACATAGCCCCTCACTCACTCCCCCCTCCTTTCCCCTGCTTCAGAAGGGATGGGGAGGAGAGTCGAAAGAATGTAACTACCACGGGCTGAGATAAGAACACTCCAGTAACTAAGGTATAATGCAAACCACTGCTGCTACCACCAATAATAATAATAAGGAAAATAACAAGGGGAGAGAATACAACCGCTCACCACCCACTGACCAGTACCCAGCCTGACCGAGTAGTGTTCTAGCCCTTCCGGTAACTGCCCCAAGTTTATATAGTGGGCGTGATATGCTGTGGTATGGAATACCTCTTTGGCTAATTTGGGTCAGGTGTCCTGTCTCTGCTTCCTCCCTGCTTTGACCTCCTCCCTGGCAGAGCATGAGACTGACAAAGTCCTTGGTCAGAGTAAACATTACTGTGCACCAACTAAAAACATCGGTGTTGTCAGCGTTGTTCCCAGGCCAAAAGTCAAAACCATAGCACTGCACCACCTACTAAGGAGAAAAATGACTGCTAGCTACTGCTGAACCCAGGTCATGGATGAAAAGACTTCTAGTAGGTTACTTTAAAGAAAACATACCAGCACAAAGAAAGAAGGGGATTTGCATCTCATCATTTATGTCTCTTCTTCCCAGCATATATGCTGTGAAAGATTGTGAAAATGGATAAATATTTTTCAGAGTAATAAGCCACAGTTACGCTTTTCATAAAAAAAACTAATCCTTTGGCAAGCAAACCATGCTAATAGTAACTACAAAATGAAGGATAGTAATTGCTCTTTTCTTGTCAGAGTATCATGGTGTTTAGACTGATTTACATTCGGATTTCTATTCTATAACCCACTAGTTACCCATTTTAATCTGGAAGGAGAATTCCATTTGCATGTTGCAGTGAGGATAGTATTCATATGGCTCAATTTGGTATTTTGAGTGTTTGAAAGGTCACTGGCTTGTGAAATGTTTGGTACTCCATCTAGCCACTTGACATTTAAAGCTTCTGAATTGATTTGTAAGCTTAGGCTTTGCACAGTGTTAGTCTCTACAAATACAGCATTAAAGATAAGACTCCTTGTCCTGTTGAACTAAGCAAATACAACAAAATCCTGTTATGTGGTCATGCTTTGGGAAAATACAGATAAACCAGTGATTGAGAACCTTATTTTTTCCTACTGTAATCTTATCTAAACAATATGAGCTACTTGAACTCTAAAGTTCCTATTTTAAAAGGCATTATCAAAAAGACAACTTTCTGAAGATGTATAATGTTAATATTCTAAGTGCTCCTCTTTCTGGAGTGTTTGTTTTCTATATCTTATGTGAACTATAGCATGTAAACTTTTTGCAGAAGGTGAAATGCTGAGCAGACTGTTTCCTGGAACATCCAGCAACACTTACAATGAACTCCTCTCTTTTTATCTTGTTGCACAGGACACATTGGAATTGCTGTACCTGATGTCAATAAAGCTTGTAAGAGGTTTGAAGAACTAGGAGTGAAATTTGTGAAGAAACCAGATGATGGTAAGTCTTGATTAGAAATACAAGTAATTTTTTTTCCCCTTTGTTTTTAATATATTACGTCTAGAAGATCTCTCTTGAAAACCAGGTAATATATTTTCTGTTGATGTCACTCTTAGGTGCCAGAACAAGTTAGCCCAGCACCCTCTTACACACTGGGCAAAACTGACAATAGATCCATCTTGGTAAAAACTGTGATAGGTATAGCTATGTGCCTTCTGCATCTAGTCTGACCTTCAGTAAAATAGTTGATAGCTTATACTTCTGCCTAGAGTTACTACAGAATTTACTTTTACCATGGACCAGATTCACACATCACATCTGTTTGCTAATTATCATATGAAAATAAGACGACTTGGAAGATGTAATTACTCCCACCATTAAAATTGAGTAATTCCTGACTTTTCTGCTTATTTTTATTTAATGCCACTTACTAGCTATTAGCATTCTGACTGTTCTGTCAGCTTTCATAGAAAAGCCTCATTAGTCTGTATCACATTTGACTTGTACAACTTCTAGTAAAAAAATGCATGATGTTTAGCTCAAATGTCTAGAGAGTACATAAACAAAGAATGCCTATTTCAAAAGCCTAAAATGCAGAAATTAGTAGTGAGAAGTCTTTCATTTTTCAACTGGATTCTCCTTCATGAAGAGACCTTATGAGAGTTTTAGGACTGATGTATTCTGAAATGGACATCTCGTACTTAGCAGCATGTGCAAATCTTTAACTTCTCTCTGGTTATAGAAACTAGACGCTTGCCTGTAGTAAAGGCGGGTTGTGATGGATTTTGTTTGGCTCTTACTTGGTTTCGTTTTGCTTATAGATTGAAAGTAGCATTAGTACATGAAGCTTCAGTTCACAGGTACTGGAATTGATCTAGGTTCTTTGCTAGAGGAATAAGAACAAGTAAAGCAATTTTCATCTTATTCACTGTGTTCTCAGCTGAAGCAAATGTTATGAGCATAGATGAAAACTTAACTTGAACACAGATTTCTTGATACAAGAATTGAACTTCATATTCCTGGCATTTTAAAGTTTCTGAGCCCTTTGTAATTTTTCAACACCTTCTGAACCCTGGGAAAGTTGACATGGAAGATCCTGATTTTGATTCTGTATTTCTGCATAGCTCTAAGCACATAGGAGGGGAAGCTTACACTGTGAGTGGAATAAAAGAAAGAACGCTTAAGGCAGTTAAGGGGGAGCCAGAGCAAAAGCTGTGTTCTAATATGAAGAAATAAAATCAAAACAGCAAATGCCAAGGAGGAGGAAAAAGTTTTGGAATTCACGTTCATTGTCGAGCAGGCTAAGAGCCGTAGTGTGGTTTTTTTTCCCCAAAATTACTGAATCAAATATCTACTGTTCTCAGAAGTTTTTGCAGTTAGAATATATTGAGAGTTAGGTTGGTTCTGTTACAGTAAATAGCCTAATAGAGCAAGCATAATTAAAAGTGTGTGGTTAACACTTTCAGATAACATCTTAAGCTGTGCTATCCTGATCTACTGTTGAAGAACAATTTTTGGCAACCTTGTTTTAATCTGTGATATTTTTTCCAAACAGTAGAACTTAAAGCATTCCTGTCCTGCATTTCTCTGTTTTATGATGAAGTGATGCAACTGTGTACTATAAGCCACACTGGGGAGGGAGGGGGAACAAACAAAAACCAGAAACAGAACTTCAGTGTGAATACAGGGATGATGGGAGATTAACAGGGTAGAGGAACACAGGATTTTATACTGGCAAAGCCAGTTCAAGAAAATTGTGTCAAAACATCCTGGAGAACAAAAATGCTATTTAGAGGATGAATACTTACAAGGGCAGTCGATAAAAGATAGACTTGCAAAGTGACTTTAAACTACAGCTTTGTAGATTGACAGTTTAGCATACAAATATCTATTGCTGATTAAAAACTCATTTCAGACTTAGCTAAATTTGAACTAATTTTTATGCAAAAGGAAAAAAAAAAGGAAAAAATATTTTTTCAAAGTAGTCGTATTGACATTAAGAACTAGTCATGTAGTCTTAACTTCATCTTGTTGCCTTTTTCTTTTCCCCATAACAGGTAAAATGAAAGGACTTGCATTTGTTCAGGATCCTGATGGCTACTGGATTGAAATTTTGAATCCCAATCACATGGTGACTCTCACTTAGTTCTAATGAAGTATATATGAGACTCTCACTTTCAGTCCCCTGGAGAAAATCTGTAGCAGTGTTTATGAAAATCTCAGTTAATGGATAGGAATCAGTTGTGTTCAGAATCTCTTAAAACTATCCCCTGGGACCTTGCTGTACTTGGATTCTTTTATTCCTGTCCTGTGATGCCACTTCAGTTTGTTCTCAATTATGAATACTCAACCATTTTTTTAGAAAAGCTGTTACAAAGATTTGCTTCTTGAATATTGATTATGTTAATATTTCATCAAGCCCTGTCAAAAGATATATGACCAGAAATTCACTGGCTCTCACACCTTTAAACTAACAACAAAACAAAAAATCCTTTGTTGCTACTGATGAGCTTCAACAAGGAAGAAAAAAAAAAATACACCTTCAGAATATTCTTTTTTTTTTTAATGAAGTTAACAGATCCAGAAGGCTTCATCCACTATATTGTAGAATATAAAATGTAGAAATAAAATGTCAGACTTTTGACTTGAGTACTAGTATGTTTATGAAAGTCCCTATCTTACTTGTATTATGTCAGGCAGAACTCTTTATGGAGCAGCCTTAAGCAGCCTTGCCTAGAACAAGATACTTTGTGGAGGCAGTAATCAGCAGAAAGAAAAACCACAGTCTTTCAGCTTCTGATTGACAGCCAAGAGAAGAGGTCTCATAGTTGCTAACTTGTCTCTTGCTTCTTCTTGTCTCTTCCAGTGCTAGACAGAACTTGCTCATAATTTTTATTTCAGTGAAAGTCTGGGGCTATATTTAATTTAAATTCCAGGTACATTCTGCATTACAAAATAAAAAAAGTGTCTGAAAAAACAGCTTCCTACCAGTAGTGCCCTCCCAAAAGGAATGATGGTTACTGAAACGGTACCTGTAACCAGTAGGAAAACATACAATGTTTACATATGTTGCACAGAATATTTGAATTAATGCTATTCCCCCTGTTATGTAGACCATATCAGGTTTTGAAATCCTGTGCCTTCAAGAAAAAAAAACCCTTTGCCATGTCTTACTATGGCTTGAATAGTTATATGACTAGTTAATGTAAAGGCATTGCGATTCACTTCCAAATAAAGCATTGGTGAAAACTAAAAAAATCACTTTAAAACAGCATGACCTGTTGCTTTGCTAATTGTTGGAATCGTAGATAACTGAAAAGTTATTTGGTTGGTTTTGTGGATTCTTACTTGAGAAGAAATCTAGTTATAAAGGAATAAATTGGGAGTATGGTAGTGAAAATAACTGTGTGACTTCCTTAGCAGGATGCTTTATTAACTTAATGGCAATGTGCAGAATTAATAACAGTCAGTAACTCCCTGGCTTATAAATTAAACCAGAGATGTAGAAAGTACTGCATTTGATTCCTACTGTGCTAACACAGATGTTAATGACTTAAATGCTGAGTGTTCCTGTCCCGTCTCATCTGAAAAATCCTTAATTCTGTCTGCCTCATCTGAACAAGATAGCATACATGAACTCAGTAATTTTAGAGCTCCACATGAAAAGTAATTAATAAAATTAATCAAAGATGTTTACCCTTAGAAAATGAGTGAAACAGATCATATACTTTATTGGAGCCTTAGGTGTCGGAATAAGGAATGAGAAAACTCTAAATGAAGTTGTCTAAAATTGAGTTTTATTTCAGTCAGTACGTGTCATCTAAAGCTTTATGACCAAGGGGTTGGCAAGGAAAATCTCAGATTTTTTACAAGCCTTTAACTTGGTAATTCTTATTTTAACAACCTAGTATTCCATTCAGAATTGTTTCACTATACTTAAAAGCACAGGTGTGACTGGAAAAGCTATTGACGCAATTGTATCGAACCCAGTAATTAAAACCGGCATAGTTTGAAAATCTTATGAGTAAGTCAAAGGGTGTGCATACATAGGTCAGTGGGGAACTACATGAGGGGAAGCAGGCTATGTAAAGGTTCTCGTTAATACTAAAATAAAAGCACTCTGAACATGTTTTCAAGTCTTGGAATGGTCCCTGGGTTTAAGTGCTTGGCTAAGCATAGCCATTGTGATAGATGATGAAGCAATAAAAAGGAAACTAGTAAAAAAAACACTGTCATCTACAAACTAATTACAGCAGTATAATGAAGTGGGAAAGCTATGGGGGTTTAGGTTGTCTGTTGTTACTTTGTTTTTAAAGTCACTGCTGCTTGTCCTACTGAGAACTAATTAACTCCGGTACTATCAGCTATAAAATCCGCCAATAAGCTAGTAAAGAAAATCATTAAGTGATTATTCTTTAAGCCTGTAACAGATGTTAAAGATTTTAGTTGTAAAAACTTTTGAAACTCTTCAGTGTTCTTACCGAGTACAGACAACGCTATTTTTACTTTTTCCAAGGTAACTTTTCTGCCAAATAAAGTGTGGAATTATATAGCATGTAGTGCTTTGCCACTTGGAGAGCCTAAATTTAGCGATGTGCAATACAGTAGAAATTAATCTAATGGTCACGCAGAGAGGAGCCTATGTTCTCCTTATAGCCTGTAAGAGGTTCCATTACTCAGGACCAACACCCAAGGAATGGCAAGAGTCGGGGAAGCACCCCTCTAGGCTTAACCAAAGAAAACGTACGTTTTGAATGTAGCCGAGTAACAGCAGGTGGGAACGCGAGGAAGGTTAAATATCAGCTGCTGTTTGAGAAGGGCTAGTTACTTCAGCACCGAACGGAGTGCTGAAGCCCCCGCCAGACCGGCTGTTGCCCGAGGCACAGATGCGGCTATGACAGCCGCGGGCAGCCTCGCCGGCTAACCGCGACTTCACCCCTCGAGTGGAGACGGTCTGCGGGAGTTGCCACCGCCGACCATGATCGCCCTCCCGACCCACCGACCGCATCGACCCTGCCGCCGGGCTCTCCCCGCAGCCCCGCCGCGAGTGCTGAGCCCCGCCCGGCGGATGCCGCTCTTCTACCAGTCGCCCCTGCCCTGTGGCCGGAAAAGGAAACCCAGCACCGAGCGCCCGTGAACGGTGGAGGCTGGTGAAGCGATGAAGCCGCACATGGCAATCAGTATCGTCTCCAGCGGGTGGTGTCGACGTCAGCACGCAGGGGGACGGCTGCTGTTGCTAGGTGATGTCAGCGCGCCGGTTGACGTAGCGACGGCGACGGAGCAGGGGGTGGGGGCCTTGTCGGCGGCGGGGCTGGTGAGTCTTGGGGGAGGGTTGTGGGGGCATGTGGTGGTTGTGTTCCTTCTGCCCTTGTGGAGTGGGTCCTGTGGCTTCCCCGCCGTGAGCTCTGGGCCCTCGGCGGGCCGGCATGTAGCCGGCGGTGGCTTCCACCGTGCGAGGGCAGGCTGACCGAGGAGCGGGCCGAGGAAGCGCTGAGGGGAGCAACTGAGCTCTCCCGGCGGCGGAGGGGCCGTACCTGAAATGCCTTTCTGTGGAGGCCAGGGAGGGGGCGGCTGGGCGGACGATGACTCTCCGCTCGGGACGTCGGTCTAGGGCCGCGGCGGTCTAGGGCCGCGGCGGCCCAGGCCCTGGTTTCCTGGGCACGACCTTGGGCAAATCGCTGTCTCCCGGCCGCTCTCTGTTCTGTGCCGATGGGCGATGTGCCTGCTTCACCTACTCGCCTACCCCGTTGCCTGCTCGTTCTGGTAGTGTGCTGGGGTTTTGGGGTTTTGTTTGGCCTTTTTTTTTTTTTTTTTTTTGTTTGGTTTTATTTTGTTTGGGTTTTTAATAGTCAATATTTTGATGCTTTGGTAGTACACACAATATTTTCGCAGGGTCTTAGTACTTAACTACTCTTGCAAGTTGCATACTGTTGTAATTCACTGAATTCCTTTTGACTTTGAAGCAGCTATTATCAGGCTGGAAAAAACCCTCAGACAACCGGTGTTAACTTGTTAGCAATATGCCTATAATCTTGCTTGCCCAGCAGTGTTCTTCGTTTGTATTATTGTTAAAAGCTCAGCGCACAGACCCCTCGCAAACCCCGGTGCTGGGACCACTTAGTTCTGTATGTGTTTTAACATTCAATTTGAGCCTGTTCACAAAGCCAGGTGTATTTGGCACTTTTCCTATTACAACTCTAAATGAGGCGCTTGAAGTATAGTGTCCTGTTGGTGTCTATTCACTCATTTATTAAAAACAAAATAAAAAACAACCAAAGCCACAGGAATTTTCATAAATGTCTTTTGATTAGATTTCGATAATACAAGTGAATTTGATAATCTACATCACTTGTAGGAGCAAATATTTATGCATTACATGTTATTCTCCAAAACAAAGAGTTCTTCTTTGCTGGATTGGGATGTAGTTACTTTCCAGTGCATGAAGCTACCTAAAAATATTTTTTTCTTTCTTTTTCCCCATTGCTCCATTAAACATATACTTTAAAGAAGGTTAGATTGTCTTTTAGGAGAATTCATAGATGAAGATATCATCTATTTAGGGAATTAAATACAGTTTATTTTTCTGCTGGCATATATGATGGGAAGAATAACAGTAATTTGTACTTATTAAAAGCGACTCATTATGTTAGCTATGTATTTAAGCAAATAAAGCCTCTATATTCCTGTATTTCCTCACCCTACAGTTTTGTTTTCTTGTTTGTAAAATTAAAAGCTTGCACAGGAGAAAGATCTGCAACTGCCTTAAATAAAACCCCACAACCAGAACACAGAAAAAATCCCCATATCCTTTAGCTAGGTAAGAACACTTAAGGGAACTTTGGATGTGTAGGGAATAAAATGCGTGTGGTGTGCTTTGTACAGACATGGTTTAACTAGGACACCCATGTGGAAAATGGTGTTCTCGAGAACGTTAATGATGTAGTAAGAAATTTTCAGGATGAATTTTTTGTGGCTTAATGAATGGCAGTGTGTTACTACCTTCTTTGGTGGTTAAAAAAATAGAATTGTCATAATTCATAGAATCACAGAATTGTTTGGGTTGGAAAGGACGTTAAGATCATTTAGTTAACACCCCCCCCCATGGGCAGGGATACCTCACATTGAACCATGTCACCCAAGGCTCTGTGCAACGTGGCCATGAACTCTGCCATGGATGGAGCATTTACCACTTCTTTGGGCAACCCATTCCAGTGTCTCGCCACCCCCACAATAAAGAACAACTTCCTCATATCTAACCTGAACTTCCCATGTTTAAGTTTAAACCCATTCCCCCTTGTCTTATTGCTACAGTCCCTGATGACAGCTCAAAAAAAAAAAAGAAAAAAAGAAATTCTAGTGCTATCATTTAATGCTATGAGGAGGTTTCCCGTAGAATTGTGGGAATTTTTTTAAGAATTTATTTCCACAAAAGTTTTACTGAGAAATCTGCATCTTGCTCAATTTTGCCATAGGCTACATGCCCCCGGTTTCTCATGGTAATTATTTCATGCATTGTTTCAGGAAATGATACAGTTGTTGCTGCGTAGCTGGATGTCACTGAATCACGTTTCTATGAGCTTGCTGTTCGATCTGTCTGTTCAGCATGGCAAAGAACCCTAATTTTCAGGAAGCTGGCCATCTGCCTGCAGGCTATGTCCACTGTAGGTCTTCAGACAGCTTTACTGGTGAGTGGACCAATGCATTTCCTTGAGATTCTGACTTGAGAGTTTAGTAGTATGCCAGTTTAACTGGGTTGTACTGAGTGCCTTAATACCTATTTTATGGATGTGTTAATAAACAAGCTGCAGTTAATATATTGTTCTTTGTACCTAGCCAAATTTATTCCTTCTCTGCTGTTAGAGGGATATATCTCTGAGCAGAATGTGAAACATTAGCACTACAGCACTTAAGTACTAGGAATGTGTTTGAAGATGAGCAGTGCATAACTTCCCATATGCTTCAAGTCAAAACATTTTTGGTACTAAATTATTGTTTAGAATGCTGTAATTGAATGGTGTGGTTGTTTGTCATTAATGAGAGTTAACATCTGCTTTTCTTTTAATCCTTTCACAACAGAAGGGTTGGAGATGAGACTGAAAAGTTCTGTCAATTTAATTTACTTGATCTTTCATATTCTGTGTCTGTAAATTTGTACTACATTGATAATGTTATTATTTTTTATTGGATAATAAGTGCCAGAACATATATATATTTTTTCCCCTTTCTGTAACAGTTTTCACTCACGGTCAACTTTTGTTATTCAGAAGTACAAAAGACCTTCTGTAGTGAGGGTTTCGGCAAAATCACAGTATTTACTTGGGTTATACTCTGTATGTTGAGATGTTTACTAAAAATTTCTGTTTTGTAATATGTCAGCTTATTGTACCAGAACTTATGAACACAAAATATTTTTGTATAAAAAGATGTGTATGTCCATTACAGAACCCCCAAAATGACCCCCCCCCAATATCTGAAACAATGGTAAGTTTGTACAGTAGCTTTACTGTCACACCATGTTCAAATATATAGTAATAGAAATTATAAGTAAAGTCATATTTTGCTGAAATTTATTTGAACCAAAATATTATATGAAGGAATGAATTGCAAAATAAATACTACTCAAATCCTCTCCAATCAACTGAGGATAAATTCCTATTTCTAGATAAAATAGCCATGCAAAGTACAAGCTAGATGAAGTAATTAAGTCTTTCAAGAGTATGAAATCATAAAATTTTTAATTCTAGCAGTCGTCTGTTTACTTGCATTTATTTCTAAAGTTTCAATTGGCTTATCAGTTATGTAAACATTTTTCACTCAGTTTATATGAAAAAAGAATCCCAACAAATTATTCATGAACAATTTCTTAAATTATTTTTTCTGTACCTGGTATAAACACAAGTTTTCCATGTTCCATTGAAGCAGCACTGCTTTTCAGAGGAGTCTTTAGTGATAGCCCAGAAGTGGGGAAGGAGGGAAGTGACTGAGTGCTGGCCTTATTGCAGGTCTGGTTTGAGAGTTCCTTAGTAAAGATGTCATTGAGGTTTTGCTGTTGTTGCTGCATTTTCTAGATCATGTTTTTATACACTGTAACATGTTACAGATTACTTACTAAAAAGAAATATAGCAATCTAAAATTTGGGTGGGTTGGGGGGGGGGATGTGTGGTTGTTTTTGAAGCGATGACACATTGTGTAGTATTGCATATTACCTTATGTAATAAATACCAGGCCATGTTTTTGAGTTTGTTGCAGCTTTAATGGTGCCTCAGACTCACTGAGAAGACTGTTTTATTTATTTCTGTGTCATAAGCAAAGCTGCAGCAGGTGACTCCTGAAGCAGTTAATTAGCTCTGAACACCTCCTGGAAATAGGTTATGGCGCTGGCATAAATACCCTGGTCCTTTATTCTGAACATGGTTTATTGTTCTTTGCCAGGAAGAATAAACTGTATTCTCTGAAAGGTGATGTCGTTTGCTGATAGAAAATCCACAATACAGACAAAACTTGCGTTGGAAATGTGTAGTACTGAACAAGTAAATGGATTTGAATGCTCCTTCAGTAGTTGCCCACAGTATTACAGTGTAGTAGTATTACAGTGCTAGTGTTGTCCACAGAAAATGTGTAAGGTACATACATGGTTTCATGAAGTCACTGGTTTCCAACACTTGATGTCATTCAAGCATATGAAGGGCTCCTCAGCCAGAGGCTTTTAGCCATCATGTATTCCCAGTGTTCAACATGTTTGTGTTTGAAGCTGACAGTTTAGAGTAGTACATTGTACCAGCAATTTGAAGAGCATTAGATATTGAAACAAATTTGACTTGCATCTTAAGCACAGGGATTTCTAAATTTCTACTTTCATTGTTTGCTGTCATTCAAGGTCTTGATGGTGTCTGTTAGTCAACAAGGACTGATGTCATTGACATATATATTAGCGCATGTCACCAGTTCAGGCTTTGCCCTCTCCTGTACACGGATTCTTGCTTAGAGAGGGAGAAGGAAGTGTTCTTTTGATTTTGTTTATATATTTACCTGAAATGGAAACAATTTTTCCTTGAACTTTTCACCCTATTGGCACGTGACAACATCCACAGCTACTGGAAGCAAACCGTGCAGCTGATGTTGTTCCTTTATCATTGTTAGAGTCTGTCCATTTTATGTAGACGGTAACTGTTCCTGTCTTTTAAAGGTGAGAGTGAGTGAAGGAAACAAACAAGTAGAATGTAGAAAAAATTGAATTTAAATAGATTTTAAAGCCAAAATGTGCCTGTACTTTTACAGGTATAAGGTATCATAAATAAACTTCCCTAATTAATAAAAATCAGAACTAGCAGAAGAGAATACAGAGTTGCTTGACAGTGTGCCTGTAACTTGCACGTGGTTGAGTTGCCTCACTGTTGTGAATGAAGATCAGCAACAGCAATTACAGACTTGTAAGATACCGAAGTCTGGAAGGAGTATTGGGGGTTGAGATTTGCAGCTGAGTAGCAAATACATACTTTTATTTGCTCCTTTGGGATGATAAAAGGTTTTGTATTTTGAGGGCATTTGAGTTTTACTGTTGTCTGTAAAGGCTCAAATAATTAATAATTATGTTATGATAAATATTATTGCTAGTATAAATAGGACTGATGTGAGTTAATTTTGCTTGTTATAAAGTAGATATTAGGATGTATGTTGCATAAATGTGTTCATTGTGGAATTGTCTTAGCTAATTGTAAATTAACCAGTGCAAATAGAAGAAACAGTCTGTTATTACAAAAACCCATAAAAATTAATGTGCTGTCATTAGCATGTGTGTCAGGATAGAATAATGCCTTTACAGTGTTCTGTGTTCCCATGGTTAGGCTGCCTCCAGTATCTTGGCCCGTATTGCTGGTTCCACGCTATAATGGCTACATGGGTACACAGCTTCTAAATCAAGGGTGGGAGAGAGCCTGAGGAAAGCTGCATTTTTGTTCCCAGTTGTGCTGGGACGGGACTTGTATTGCCAATTTAATAAGCTGGGTTTTTCTCTAATCTTATATTCTATTTCTGTTGCTTTTTCTAGTTCAGTTTAAAGTTCTTTGGGACCGTGTTTCTACAGTATCTTGATTTTGGGTTGTTTCCAGGTCCTACGCAAGTGGAAATAATACTTTCACCCCATGTGCATTTTCTTTTCTTTGGTGGAGTAGAAATGACTGGGAACAGATGCATGTTTTCTTATCATACTTTTTAAGTGTAGCTTAAATATGTGTTCATGTCATGAAAGATTGTCATTTGAAAGATTAATGTATTAACCACATGCAGGGTATGACCTCCTCGTTTTCCTGTTTCTTGTGGTACACCATGATTCTTCAGCACTAAGTATGTGCCTGTTTTGAAATGTGGCTAATCACTGGGGCACAGGTGTGTGAAAATATGGATGGTCATGACCTGAAACAGCCTCTTTTTATTTAAAAACAAACTGAAGTGTAACAATATAAACTGAAACTTCCCTATGGATGCTCTTGCCAATGAGGCTGCAGAAAGCCTCTGTTGCTGAAGTAAGCCAATAAAACCTCTTGTGAATTAAGAAATAACAAAATAATTCCGTAGAAGGTGTGACTAACACATGCATCTATATTGTGCATTAATGTGCAGACTCCTACTTTTATGACTGAAAGGGTATTAGGGAACAAGAAGGCATCAAGGAAACTGAGTCAAAAGGATAAGAAAACTGAACTGTGTATTTCAAAGCTTTGATCTTCGTGTGTTATTTATTAAAAGTTGTTCTGATTGTTTATTTTCTCCCAGTTCTGGACAGCTGATTGGAATTCTGCAAAAACACTGATGTTTTTACTCATTACTGATTTTAGTAAAGACTTGGGAGTTAAGACTATACTTAATTGGTCAATTTATTTATTTCTTTATAATTTGTGTGCATTTTAATTCAGACAGAATTGCTTTCTAATGGTAAATTCAGTTGTTTAATTTTTAATTCCTTTTGCTGGAAGATTTTTACTTTAAATAAATGAACTTACAGAATACCTGGGTCTTTTGTTTTATTATCTGCTGGCTAGAATTGATTGATGCAAGCTGCATTGAGTCCTGTTGTAAGTGAACCTTCATAGAAAGCCTCTTGTTATTTATTTCTTGTTATATATGGTAACTTGCACAGTCACTTTTTTCGTAATCACAGCTTGATCTTAGCAATTTTTTAATATTTGTGCCCTTTAAAATGCTGGTTATTTTCTTTTTCCCTGTAGGCTACCAATATCACCATCCCTCCAAGATGAGTAACAGCCATCCCCTTCGTCCTTACACAGCTGTGGGTGAGATTGACCATGTTCACATTCTGTCAGAGCATATTGGTGCTCTAATGAATGGGGAAGAATACAGTGACGTTACCTTTATTGTAGAAAAGAAACGTTTTCCGGCACACAGGGTGATCCTGGCTGCTAGGTGCCATTATTTCAGGTGAAGTATAGCTTTGTGTCATGCTCACAGGAAATTTTCATGCAGATAAGATAAACACTGTTTCTTTATGAACTTTTCAGATTGTAATCGTCTGTCCACTGAGTGTGACCTTTTCTGTGTGAATCTTTCCCAGCACATCAAATCATTGTGTCCAAATATAAAAAAGATAAATACCATGTCACAGTGTTATTCTTTTGACCTTCATTAAACTGGATTTTGAAGATATTTTCACAGGCTCATGAGAAAAAGAACTTAAGAACAGAAAAGTTCTGCTGTAAAATTGTTTTCATTTTTTGCGGAGTATGGATAGTGTGCTTCTACGGAATATGCTCAATTATAAAGTTTAATTTTGATGTGTTGGAATTAAATACTAAAAGATGTCTGGCCAATACAGTTTAGAATATATATTTTAAAACTAGGAATAATACTAATCCACCTTTTTAACAGATGGCCATTTTCCATTCTAAATTTAATTAATAGAACTTTGTGATAATATTCTTCCAGTTATTTTTATCGCAGCCATAAGCTAATAATTAAATTGTGGATGCAAATTGTGTGCAACCTGTCCATCATATTTTAAAAAATCATTGTGAGTACTTTGATTTTTCTAAAGAGTCAGGATTTCATCAGAATTGCTGTGTGCTCGGTTTAGAGTTAAGGAACAGATGATCAAGAATCCTGAGATTTGCTAATCTGCCACTGCTGTTATAGTGGCCAACAAATTGTTTCATTTGCTTTGTGAAAAAAATCTTTTTTTTGGTTTTCTCTCTTTCTGTTAGCACCATATTTTTCAAAAAAGGAAAAGCATGAGAATCATACCTTGATTTCTGCTTCGCAGGCTATTGTTCATAGTGCAGACGTAGCAGTTGTGTAGGATGAAAACATGCATTAGAATATTACTCTGCAGCTGCTCTCAGAGCAGAGCTGTACTTCAAATGCCAAATATAAGGGGTTCTATTTTGTAAGTTCTTAAACCGTATCCTCTTTGTATTGCTTTTGCTCTAAATAGTAATTTAATCCTTTCTCTTTCTACACTTTGCCTAGTTTATATCAGGTTATAAATTTCTTAAATTTTATCTTATAGAGCGTTACTGTATGGTGGAATGAGAGAATCTCAGCCCGAAGCTGAAATTCCTCTTCAGGACACCACCGCAGAAGCATTTACCATGCTGTTGAAATATATTTACACTGGTCGTGCTACACTACGAGATGAGAAAGAGGAGGTTCTACTTGACTTCCTCAGCCTAGCACATAAATACGGGTTCCCAGAACTGGAGGATTCAACATCTGAGTATCTTTGCACAATACTTAATATTCAGAATGTCTGTATGACATTTGATGTTGCCAGTCTTTATTCCCTTCCCAAATTAACTTGTATGTGCTGTATGTTCATGGATAGAAATGCCCAAGAGGTGCTCTCCAGCGAAGGCTTCTTGTCACTTTCTAAGGTACATCTTTTTGTTTGCACTTTTTTCCCCAGGAATGTACTTTGATATGTGTACCACTTCATGACAAAATACTAATGGGGGCACCAAGTACAAGTTTGTACGTTAGTTAACAGGTCTCATTTTAAGCTAATGAAACTGTGAGAGTTAGAAATGTTCAAGCCAAGCTTAACTAAGAATCCTGGTGATCCACTGAATTTTTTAGGTATTTAATTTTGACCAGTCACTATAGCTAAATATAGTAAATCTGATGGAGTATTCTACCAAGATGGGAGCAGGTAATCTAACCTTGTCACATGCAGCTTGTTAAATCTGAGTTCTGAGAGCATATTAGATAAATAATTTAGCAAACGTTAGTCATCAGGAAGCACATACTTTGTCATCTTTGGTATAGCCAGTCTTGGTATATATGAGATTTATCCTTTTTTTAGGCAAACTCCTAATTATTCTGCTAAGTGAAAATCAAGCAACTGTTCAATCCTTTTTGTTCCCATTTTGCAGTCAGTGGGTTTTCTGTGTGAATGAGAACCACTGAAGTTTCCACCTGGTGATTCTCAGTTGGTACTGAAAGAGGGGAATGTCAGGGGAGGGAGGGAATCCCAAGTAGTTAGAAGTGGTTTAAAAAGGTGATTCCAAGCCGCACTTCATTGTTCCCATCAATGGTGTTATACCACTATAATTTTAAAGGAATGCTTTAAACTATACTATCAAATCTCAAAAATCACTTCTTATATTCCAAAGTAAATTTGAAATAGCAACTAGAATTACACTGATTTGAACAGTTTTCCACATTTCAATTCTGACTTACCTTGTGGTTTTGTAATATTACCTATTATTTACATGATAGATCCAGTTATTCTTGCATATGTAACTAAAACAAGCTACAGTTTCAGGTAGTCACTCCATTGGAGATTATTTTTAATAAATACAAGTTAACATACCCATTAATTTTTTCCCTATTTTAATTTCCTTTTTTAAAATAAATTTTATTTCTCTTTGGGGTTGTTTTGTTTCATTTTTCTTTTCCAGGCTGCTCTTTTAAGTATCGTACTGAGGGACTCATTTGCAGCTCCTGAGAAGGACATTTTCCAAGCTTTGATGAATTGGTGTAAACATAACCCCAAGGAAAACCATGCTGAAATCATGCAATCAGTACGTTTACCACTAATGAGCCTAACAGAACTATTAAATGTTGTAAGACCTTCTGGATTGTTGTCACCTGATGCCATCCTAGATGCCATTAAGATTCGTTCAGAGAGTCGGGACATGGACCTCAACTACAGGGGCATGTTAAGTGAGTGTTAGGGTTTTTGTGTATTTGTGTTTTTTTTTTTCTCATTTACTGGCTATAGTTCTCTGGAGGATGTGCTTAATTTGTGCTTTGAGGTTTTGTCCATTATTACATGTTTTGAAAGGCTTACATAATGAAATACCTTGTTATGTACCATTCTTGTCATTTCTATTCCTCAGTATCAGCCAACATATTCTTCTTCATATTTGCTCAAACAGTATAAACAGGTCTTCCAAAACTGTACTAATGGAAGCCTAAAAAGTGTGAGAAGCCTTTCATCTGTGCTCTCTGTTAATTCAACAAGAATATCTAACACCGAGCTTTAGAAAGATACTGTTAGTTTGTTGTCTATTTTTTGTTGTGTGATTTTTAAAGTGTTTGCCTCACAGCAAAGTATAAAGCTAAATGTTCTTTGAGAGCTTGTACTGTAGCCTCAGTCATGCATGATGAGCCCTGAAAATAACTGCTTTCTCAGAACCACATCTCCCCTGTGTTCTTAGAAGTTACAGATATTAATATTTAAACGTGAGTTTAATATTAGGTTATTGAAAAAGTTTGGTCATGCAAGTCCTTCTGTTGACAGTGCAGTAGAAATATTTGACAAATTTATATGGTGTTTTCTGTATTCTTTTTCTGCATATTTCTGTCTCAATAAATAATATGCTTCTGATCTCAGAATTCCTCGCTTTCTCCAAATCTGAGATTTTCAGATAATTTAACCTTTGTGTTGTTTTAGTACTGGTTCAGGCTCTTGTGACTTTTTCTGTTTGTGTAGACATTGATGACCACTTGAATTTCATAGTTGTGCATTTGATGTTTTTATGTAGTAGTACTACAGTACAGTTAAAATTGTACTGCTTCAAATTCTGTTCTTCAGATGTTAAGTTTAACATCTTGTTAAAATTCACACTTTTGTTGCCAACATGCGTGAAGAGTTCATGGGCAGCTTTTACTCTTTCAGCTTTCAGATCATGTTTGCTAGAGTCTGTTCTCAAACAAGACTGTTAAAAGCATATTTTTAACAGGGTGGTTCATCAATGTGTTGTTTTGTAGTTGTAGTTAGGGATAATTGTCCCCAGGTATCTTGATGGATGATCTGCTCCTAGGATGTAACATGTTTATTACTGTGAAATGGTGGCATAAAAAACTTGCTTGAGCATGTTGGTTCAAAGCCCAAGTAGTCCTAAGTTTCCTGTTTCGCACAGGTTCATTTAGCTTTGCAGAGTACGGGAAGCCCATGCAACTATTAAAATAGCTTGTATAGCTGTACCACTCTGCAAATTTGTGATGCATCCGCATCTTGAATATTTAATGAGGTTTTTACTTTCCCTCAAATAAAAAAAAAATAAGAGACTAAGTAGACCAAAACTTTAAAACCAGGACGAAAGTGATGATTGAAAGAGGAAGGCGCAATAGAATTCTGTAAAATCATGAGGAGGTCTGAGAACATAGGTACAACATGCTTGTAAATTATCAGTGCTTATTTTTATGCTATGAAAGACCATCATTACCAAATGCAGTGGAAGGAGGACAAGTTCTAAAATACCTCTCTTTTTTTATATATTTCTTTTTCCCCTTGAGCATGTGTTTGTGGCCAAGAAAGGATACTGGAAATAATTCTTTGTTCTGACCTAATACGGTTGGTGTTCTTATTTGCAGTATAGGAATGTAAAAACTAAGCTATTATTTCCTTTTCTTCTTAGTACCAGGGGAGAATATTGCAACAATGAAGTATGGAGCACAAGTTGTAAAAGGGGAGCTGAAGTCTGCTTTGTTAGATGGGGATACTCAGAACTATGATTTGGATCATGGCTTCTCTCGACACCCAATTGATGACGACTGCCGCTCTGGAATTGAAATTAAACTAGGCCAGCCGTCAATAATCAACCACATACGAATACTGCTGTGGGACAGAGATAGCCGGTAGGTGCCAAGTAGACATAAAAAGGGAAGGTAATGCATTTTGTACTGGTGATAATATTTCACATTGATACATTCATTAAATATTTTATAGAAACAGCATGATACAGTATTGGAGATGACAATGACAAGTTTTATTTTAAAACAAACTATTTTTTTAAGTGTAGTTTTGGTTACTTACACACCAGACCATACTTTGTGATACTGAACTACCTTATAATATTTCAATGAATTTTCTGTGTCTTCACAAAATAAGTTTATATTACCAATGAAAGTTTACATAACTTAAATTGTTTTAATTGTTTTCTATTTGCCACTTACTTTTCAATGGCTTTTATTTTAGTTTGAAGAATATTTTAGTTCTTAAGCACAAACCAGATTTTTTATGTATTTACATTCCAAACATTGAAGGAATGTTCAGACTTTTTCAATATATCAGAATTGCTAAGAAATAACACACTTATAAAAATAATGACAATAGTTCAGAGATGGTAAAATTTATTTAGAATACAAATTACCAACTAAGAGTAGTAGTTACTAGAAGCCACTTCATGGTGAATCATGAGCTATCATGGGTGCCTCAGCCAATTTATGTTCATCTACTTGAGATTATTCTGGAATGCATAAAGGCTCAAACTGTGCCTTTTTGAACAGTATAATGACTGCTTAAGTAGGAAAATTGCAAGGCTTGTTTTACTTGACAAATTGAATATATTAATTTTATAACTTGCCATGACAAAAATTTTACAATGTAGATGGCAGATCATGCAGGTATTCATAAGGAATTTTCTAGTAAATACAATAAAACAAGCTACTTACACTTTTAACACATTATTGCCTTTCTGGTAAAAGGTTCATTTTATATTACTTCCAGACTAACAGTGAAAAATTGCAAATCAATTGTATTTGTTTTCTTAACTGAGCTGGGTTATTTTAAAACAGGGTGTACTAATGTTTTATTGTTGTGTTTTTGTGGGTTTTTTTTTTGTAAATTCAGTATTTTTAAAATATAAATTACAGTTATTAATCATTCAAATCAAACTGCATGATTTTTTAGCTATTTGTTTCAAATAAGTTCTCTTGATTCAGTTCAAGTGAAACTTACGCTTCTCTATTCCTTTTAAGAAGATTGAAAAGTAACACTTTGAAGGTACAAGGAATTACTTGATACAGTATTATACAACTTATAGAAGATCAACCAATTTTATAAAATTTGAATAAGTATTAGAGAGATATTAATACTGTGGAGTTCTTTACCAATTTTGAGATAGCTTGTGTCTGGTAAAATGCCCCTCATCTGCAAGGCATAAATCAGCAGCTGCTGAAACTCAGAAAAACCCTTTTGCTTGGGACAGCTAACTAAAAAAATTATCTGTTGCTTGGTGTCCTACACCATTCTTTGGAAATTTGTAGAACAAACTGTTGTTTCGGGCAGAGTATCAGACTAGATGGACCTTTAGAGGTTTTTCTTGTCCTCATAGAATAGTGAGGGTACAGTGATTTAGAATCTAGTTTTTGTGTCATCTTGAATTTTTTTGGGTTTTTTTTTGTGCAAAAGTTTACTGTGGGACTTTCTTTTGCTTCTTATCAAGTATAGTACTTGAAATGTCAATTTTTTTCCCCCAGTAGCTTAATCGTCTTAAAAGAAATGGAAAAGGAAGCATTTGGAGTACATTATCCCATTGTGGGCTCCTCCCTATAAGATACTGACATATTGGAGTGAGTTCAGCAGGACACTGATGATGAGGGCTTGAGCACACAATGTACAATGAGGTGCTAAGAGAAATTCCTGTTTTAAGAGGAGAAAGCTTAGAAAGGGAAGTTATTGCTGTCTTTGCCAGTTTAGTGGATGAATATAGAGAATACAGGGACAGACTCCCCTTAAGGATGTGTTCTGACAGGGCAAAGAGCAATGGACACAAGCAACAAGGTAAGTTCCTATTAAATATTAGAAAAAGAATTCATAATGGGGCAGTTGAACTTGGGAAGAGTTTGCCCAGAGAGGTTCTGCATTTCAGCCCTTAGAAGTGTGCAGAACTTCACCAGTCAAAACCTTAAGGAGCTTTCTCTAAAATTGCCCTCACTTTTGCCAAGAGATCTTTTCCAACCTATGTAGTCTTTTAGTCCAAGAATTGCCTACTGCTTACCTGCATCTTTCTCATGGGATACATGAATAACATCTCCAAAAGAGATGTTTTAGCAACTGTACAAACACATGATGGCTTCTTGTTGAACATCTTTTTAAACTGCTAATTAATTTTAACTGATGCTCTGGTCTGTTGGATTCTTCAGAATGTACATTCTTAACAGAACCTGATACAAACTAATAGGTGTGGTTTGTACCTCTAGTTTAGAGGTGTTAATTAACAGATGAAATTTAGATAAAGAAGTGCTAAGGAGTCTAGATGTCCAACTTACCTCTGTGAAAAATATGCTTTTCCTTAAGAAAGATTCTCAAGAAAAATAAAAGGCATAGTGTTGTGTATGATAAGGGAATTGCATTTCTGAGACAATTTTTCTTTGCTTGCTACCTTCAGAAACAAAAAAAATAGCATGTTGTATATTGGTTACAAATTCATATCACTCTAGCAGTGGTGGTGTGAGAATCCCTAAATTCTCACCACAGAGGACAGACAGTAACTTTTGCATTAAATTGCTCAAATTCTAAAATGCTGGAGCCTAGCTTGGTGAAATATGCTTAGGCTAGTAATAATAATAATAATAAGCACAGTGTATTTATATGGGTTGTGAATATTACACGTCCGGTTGGTGTGAATGTGGAATCTGATTATGCAGTTGACATCTTAAAGACTCTGCATTGTCTTTCTAAGTGAACAAATTGGTATTAACAGTGTTAAGAATTTTGAAAAAAAACAACACTTCAGACATCTACTCCGCTTAAGTAGTTAGCAAAAAGCTGGAAATATTAACGAAGACATTAATGTTTAACAAAAAATGTGGATGTAAAACTGGAAGAGTAACTCTTAGGAATGAGTGTGAAAGGGGGATAAATGCAAACATGGTGCTGTTGAAATGCCTATTAACTTTGCAGACTAATGCACCGAGAGAAAGAAAATACTCTGAAACACATATTCCACTATTTGCTGATCCACAAGTGAAGTTGCTACTACATTTTTAATAGTACTGTTGTAGGTATAATATGAAAATAGCTGTGGCTTTTAAGTTTTAGTTTGAGTTTGTTTTCTCCTAGCAGCAAACTATAAGCTAAACATAATTGATAAGTGAGAGGAAGACACAGATTCTATTGGTGATTTTTTTTTTGTTTGTTTTGTTTTTGTTTTAGTTTTTAATGGGGTCATTTGGGGGTTTTTAAGGCTTAACAAAGTGTCATAAACAACTGAAAGAGTCAGAAGAGAAGAACATCAATGAGCAAATGATCATAAACTTTTTTCAAGTGAAGGATTTGAATTTGTTCTGATTTGATCTGATAAATATTTTCTCATTTTTCTTTATTGATATGGCAGTAGCAATATTAACTTCATCACTGGTGTTTTGGATTTATTCCATGCAGAAGGAATACAAATGATTGTTTTTATGACTAAGATGAAAGTCTTCATTGCATAGTCTCATCTAACTACTGCAGATTGTAAGTGTTAGGATGTTTTAAGTTATTCTGAAAAAATCCCTTAACATAAACTGCATGTTAATTTATTTTCAAAGCTATTTTGAAAACAGGGATTTCTTTTAGGTAATTTAGTTGAAGGTCTGTGGATAGGAACAGGTAGCCTTCTTTTCAGCACAGCTGGAATGCAGAAGAAAGTGTAAAATACCTAAGATGTGGCTGCTTGCATTCTAACCAGTGCTTTTTGACAATCCATAGGTCTTATTCCTACTACATTGAGGTGTCCATGGATGAGTTAGACTGGATTCGGGTTATCGATCACTCTAAATACCTCTGTCGGTCCTGGCAGAACCTGTATTTTCCTGCCCGTGTCTGCAGGTTAGTTCATCACTCTAATGTTGCATAGCTATCATTAACTAATGTAGATGCAGAAATAAGTTGCTGGATTTTGCTACTGTATTTTGTATATCTCAAAACTTATGATATATAACTTTCATCAGCTATCTTAAAATAAATGTGTCTATTTTGATGGATGCTTTTCAAATATAAATATAGGTGATAAATTGCAAGCATCCTGTTTCAAAAATCTGGTGCTTCCATTTCTAATTATATATCTCTCCTTTTTTTTTTCCTTCTTTTGAGTCATGCTCACTTTTCCTATTGCAGCTGATGTATTTATTTCACTCAGTAGTAAACATAATTACTTAGCTTTCGAAATGCTTAAAATGTTTTTACATGCTTGCTATAGAACTTGGAAATGTATTTTAGTATATTTTACATGTTTTCTGCTGTTGTATCGAAAAAGTGTTTTAGGTAGTTGTGAAAGGGGAGAGATAGGGCTAAAGAGGTTTGAGCAGTGCTTTGTGTAAACCAAAGCAGCTAGATGGGTTCAATCATTATTAAGGTGATGTCTTTTTACTGTAGGCGCTGGGAATTCTGGAAAAAGGTTATAATCACATTGAACCTGTGTTACCCAAAAACTTAATGAAACTTGTTGATAGGCCATAATCTGTAGATTCCAAGATTTTATCATTAGGTTTTCGGTCATAGGCCCTAAGAGGAAAAAAAAAAATAATGTCCTGTGTTGTGATAATAATCTTCTGTAGAAACAAACTTTTTATTTGGCACAGCAACACTTGAAATCCCCAAGGAGGGGAAGTGCTTTCTTTTTTCTGAAGAATGGCCTTTGTCTCTGATCTTTACTGCTCTGCAACACGGGCTTGCTGGCAAGCAGTTGTAGTCTATGTGAAAAGTCTGATGAGTCATGTGTGTCTGTCCTCAGATAACTCTGTCTCAGACTTCCTGTCTTTTAGTAAGGTCATACTGAATGTAACTGACTTGAAATTTATTTTTGCTGATACAAACAAATACATTCTCACCTTTTCCACATAAGTATTATGATTCTGATTTTACTCTTTCTGAAATGGTTGGCACTGCCCCTTACTTTGTGTGTGTATCTGACAAATTTTGTTGCCTATGATAAATCATATAGCAATGATGAGTTGCCTCATGGAGTTTGTAGGTGTGTTTTACATTTTCCGGAGTTATTTTTTGTGTGTATGACCTTAACTTGCTGCAAAGTGGATGGATTGTTAGTGAGCACAGCTTTTTTTCTACTTCCATCATGTTACCAAGAAGATTTGAAGGGGTCTAGGGTGTTATGGTGGGACTTTCCTAAATCTTCTTTCAAAAGGGCAGCTGTTCTTTGACCTCTTCCACAGACTTGTCCAAAAGTGTTTTTTTTTACTTCAACAACAGTTTATATGTGTCGTGGTTTCAGTTCAGCCAGTAAATCAGAACCACGTACCTGCTCACTCACTCCCCCTGCCTTCCTCACCCCGCTCCTGGAGGGATGGAGAGGGGAGTCGAAAGAATGTAACTCCCACAGGTTGAGATAAGAACAGTCCAGTAACTAAGGTATAACATAAACCACTGCTGCTACCACCAGTAATAATACTGATAAGGAAAATAACAAGGGGAGAGAATACAACCGCTCACCACCTGCTGACCGATACCCAGCCTGACCGAGCAGTGATCTAACTGCCCCCAGTTTATATAGTGGGCATGATGTGCTGTGGTATGGAATACCCCTTTGGTTAGTTTGGGTCAGGTGTCCTGTCTCTGCTTCCTCCTGGCTTCCCCTCCTTCCTGGCAGAGCACGAGACTCACAAAGTCCTTGGTCAGACTAAATACTACTGAGCAACAACTATGAACATCGGTGTTATCAGCACTATTCTGAGGCTGAAAGTCAAAACCACAGCACTGCACCAGCTACTAAGAAGGAGAAAAGTGACTGCTACTGTTGAACCCAGAATATCCACCCCTTGTTCAATACCATTCACGTCATGCTCAGATCCCACATTTTCAATATACCATCACTCTTTTATATATATATATATACATACACATATATATATATCCACAGAGAGAGAGAGAGAGAGGTCATTCCTTAATGCATGGACCAGTCCCTATAAAGCTGCTGAGTCCATCTGGTTCATGATGTTGGGCTTCATCTCTTGTAACAGTCTTTCAGAGCAGGAGAGGCTGTGTGCAGTGTTCACCCTTGTGAATAACCTGGGCAGTAGTGTCCATTTCTAAGTCCACCCCTCAATCATGAGTCCATCCATATGTTTCATCTCCGCCCTAATGGCCTGAAGTGTCATGGGCCCACCAGGATCAAAATAATTCACCACCCCCTTCAGCAGTTTCTGCAACTTGTCGTTGGGGACTCCATACAGCTGCCTTCCATCTCCAAGGCACTGGAGAGGCCCAGTGGACTAGATACTTGCCCATACTGTCCCACACACCCTGCCACTCCTGACTGTCCAGCCTCGGGGAAGTTCTCTTGGTCTTCCTATATCATCATCTAATCCTAGACAAGACCCAAACATGACTCCACTTAACTTTCGAGATCAGATGAAATGGTCGTGGATAAAACACACTCTGTGTGTGTGCCAACATGGTGACCCCCATCACAATCAGCAAGCAGGTCTCAAGGGTACCCAAAGGCCATTCAGAACCTTCAGCACTCTCAAATGAGAGTGCTTGAAGCTGAAATAGCTGGTGCTGTGCTTGAAGCTGAAACAGCTGCGTTGTCTGCTGCAGTCAGAGTTTGAGTAGCTTCTGTTCTTGTCGCTGGGGTTGGTGTAGCTGCTGTGCTTTTGAGTTGGAGTAGCTGTGGTGTTTGCTGCGGTCAGAGTTTGAGTAGCTGCTGTACTTGTCGTTGGGGCTGCTGTAGCTGCTGTGCTTGGAGTTGGAGTAGCTGTGTTGTCTGTTGTAGTCAGAGTTTGAGTACTTGCTGTACTTGCCACTAGGGTGTGTGGGAATATCTCCCTCACAGGCTGACCACCTGAAGAGGGGAAAAAGGATGTGTAATTGCTGTACACTTATATACCTCCCAAAGTATAGAGGTGGTGACCATACTGGGAACACAAGCCAGATCAGTTTCATGATCAATTATTCTATTGTATTACAAGTCATTACCATGAAGTACAATGAGACGGGGACCTCTAGCCCAAGGCACCCAGCCAATAAACACTAACACAGCAAATACCAACTGTAAGTAAGGTACGACATGCTGAAACTGTGAGATCAAGAGCATCAACTTTGACAGCCAATAAATCAAGCATTCTGATGAGTGACTATTAATCTAAAACAGTAAATGCTTATCACAAATAGGATTAGACACACTCAGGTCAGATCTGTTGTTATCTCAACCCTTTGTGCCCCATGTTGGGCACCAAAAAGAACTGTCGTGGTTTAAGCTCAGCCAGTAACTCAGTACCACGCAGCCATTAGCTCACTCCCCCGCCTTCCTCCCGCCACTCCCAGAGGGATGGGAAGGAGAGTCAAAAGAATGTAACTCCCAAGGGTAAGAACACTCTAGTAACTAAGGTATAACACAAAACCACTACTGCTACCACCAATAATAATAATGGTAAGGGAAATAACAAGGGAAGAGAATACAACTGCTTACCACCCACTGACCAATGCCCAGCCTGACCCTGGCAGTGATCTAACCCTTACGGGTAAGTGCCCCCAGTTTTACCTCTTGGGCATGACGTGCTGTGGTATGGAATACCTCTTTGGTCAGTTTGGGTCAGGTGTCCTGTCTCTGCTTCCTCCTGGCTCCCCCTCCTCCCTGGCAGAGCATGAGACTGTGAATGTCCTTGGTCAGACTAAACATTCTGACCAGCAACTAAAACTTTGGTGTTATCAGCACTATTCTGAGGCTGAAAGTCAAAACCATAGCACTGCACCAGCTACTAAGGAGAAAAATGACTGCTACTGCTGAACCCAGAACAATCTGTTTGTCATAAACCCTTCAGCTGTCTTCGTCTGTGTGTGTGAGTCTGCTACATTTTAGGAACATCATTGTCCTGTATTGGTGACGGCTCTTTGTAGCCTTACCTGAAAGTTCTCAGAAGGAAGAGTGGAGGGGAGTACATTATTCCAGAGATTTAGGTGGTACCTGAGTAATTTTTTGTTGCAGAGGGAAGTCTTGTACGTTCTAGCACTCCAGTGATCTCTTAATCCTCTTTAGGTGGGGGGAGCACAGGAGAGAGCTTGTTTCATGTGGTGATTTTTTGTATACATACCTATATATTTTCTACTTGCATGCCCAAACACACTTGGAAGCCTTCCCGTTGCAACGGGAGGTATTTGAAGTATACAGTTGTCCAGGTAGCTACAGCAGAGGCATCCTTATCAAATAGTCCTTATGCCTCTGATTTTTCCACTTCTGCTCAATGATCGCCAGTAAGCCTGTTATTTTCTATAAACTCTGTTCCTTGTTATCATAGCCGGAGTGGTGGGGAATTCCCTGGAGATGCAGCTACTTTGAAAGAGTGGGTGAAGGAGCTCAAGAGAAAGTCATGTAGCAGCTTAAATTTATGAATTCTTATTAAAGAGCAGTAACCTTAAGGCAATATGAGTTCTCAGTTGTGAGTCAACATGATAATTCAGGGTAGTTTAGATAAGTCTGTTCTGTAATCTGTCTTTACATCAGTGAATTGAAGCCTACGTTATAGTAAGTGTGCATTTGCTAGTCAGAAGTAAAAGTACCATGGCTATAATTTACTACTTCTCTTTATGTATTATTTTCTTGCAAATAAGAAGAAAAAGCTATTTTAAATGTTATAAGAAACCTAACATTGCAGACAATTTTTTCAGCAGTTCCATTTCAAGAACTTTGTGTTTATTTATTTATATGAATATAAATAGTTAGGTCTAACTTGAAGTTGGCTCTGCTTTGATTAGGGGTATGAACCAGGTGACCTCCAGAAGAGAGGTTTTGAGTGTGGGGAGGCTTTGCACACATCCATATTAGTATTTGAGACTTTAATTTATCTGGTTTAAATTAATATTCTTTTTAGAAA